TCCCTTAAGTCAAGCGTGTTTATTGAAAATTTATGTCTATCCTACGCCCTTTTCAATCTTCCTCTCAGATTGATGAATTTATTGGATATTGAGGATCGGCGTCTTCGAGCGGCTGCGTTGCCTTTTGTTTCGTGCGCCAGTGTTGAAAAGGCTTGAATGTGCGTTCATGTCCATATGTACAGACATATCTCACGAAAAAGTACTTTAGGGTTGGATCATCACTGTTCTTTTAGCATACTGACATAACGTACTTAGTATGCGTATACTAAAAAAATAATTATTAACCACAGAAATCATATTACCTTATGTACTTCTTTCAAACAGGTCTCAAAATTGTCCCAACTTGTAAATCTTCGAGATAACATAATATCATTGAAGATTCATCTTATATCATGCATCATCACGATGGCATCGTCTTCGTTACTTGAAGAATGAACGTTACCAGACATGGTGTGGCTGAACTCAATTCAAATCTAAAAATGTCTTGGTTTGACCGCTTCTGAAAATTTTCACGAATTGTCGATGTGACGCACCATTCATTTTGCGACAGTTTGACCTTCAAGTGCTCGCAACCTTCATCAGTAAACGATACCCTAGGAGCGTTGCCGTGGTATGGTATGTGGGTGGTGTCTGGACATTAAGTAAATCTATATATCATAGTTAGCTTACGCATTTAAAAAGTTAGTTTTTATACAAAGAACATCAGCGAATACCAAGTATTGACTGTGGAGTTTTTTAGTTAAGCATGTGTTTGTGGTGATCAGACTTTTTGACATGGTGTCATCTGACCACCTTTTGAAATCTAGTCCAGAAACATCACTGAAACAGAACTCAATTTCACTCAAGCAAAGTACAGGGCATTCGATGCTAGTGAAGTATAAATCGTTGGTATTAGGAAAATAACTTTCAGTTAGTATTATTTTTACTAACGACTATTCACATCGATGTTCATTCATAGCTAGTATGGTTGTTGGCTGGATAAAAGCCATGAGTGACTGGACCGAAACGTGAAATCGTTATGCAATGTTAATGTATATCAGCATGATCTGTGTTGGCTGATACAAACTATGTGATCGGGATCCTAACGATGGTTGTAATTAATGATTTAAGACGCACAAATTCAGTTAGTGACCTAGGCGCATATGTTCCTTATCTGCCCCCACATTTTAAGCTTCAACATCCACAGTCTATTCACCACTAAAACCATATTCTGTGTTTAATATATTTTCCATCACTGTTATTACCACTACCATGGTATTCATCTTCTTAATGTTATCTCGCTGTATCTTTGCGGTACATGAACTTGAACCGATAGATATTTGTCGTATGACGCTCACGGTTAAGCGACTGGAAAAAAAGGTTATAGCGCCCTTTAATACTGCTTTCGCTAGGTCTATTTCTGATTTGAGTCTACAAATGGTTTCAAAATAAATAACTGGGTCATTGGAAGTACAAAAACTCAGACTTAACTGCAAGTCATTTTGTAAAATGTGCTGTTCTGATTGCAGTAATTCTCGTGAGTTTCACTAGGGTAATATTCTCCATAGTCCAATCAGATTCAACGATCTAATGCATCATATATGTTAATATTTTTGCCTGGGAACCAATCGGTCATTAGTTTATTTGCTTGTAATTTCAATGAACGTTAATTCAACTTATCGAATGTGCTGTAGACGTTTGATCGTCCGTTGGAGTTTCTGGGATTTTCAATCCTTTGGTATCAAACAAGGATTCCAACTTTTAAGATTCTCCATCACTTTCCACCAATTGGGTGTGCAATTTAATAAAGGATAACACTAAGTACATGAAGCCAGTCACATAAAGTTATTGAGCAGAAGTGTAGGTTAAAGTTATTCACCAAAACCATATGTCCCCAGCATAACAAAAACAGTCAACGTTTCCCGGCTTTCCATAGTCACAAAATGGCACTTCCAAAATCGTGAATCGCCAAATGCCCTGGTATGACCGAGAGCGGGTTGGGTTCGCCCTCCCTCTCGAAATACTCTCACACGGCCAGGCGTATACAGCCTCTGCCAGGGAAGTCCTACTCACTGCCTTCTCGTGGTGCGGGTGTTGTTTATGAAAATGATAGGACGAAGAGCGAATGTCCGGCGCTTTAACCGGATCCCAAACCAAATCAATGGTGCACATGGGCCCCAGTATCCTGTGGGGACAAATGGCGTATGAACCAATTTTCGGTCGCCGGCTACCATGGGACTGCATATCCTTACGATGCTCCACTGCCTTGTGGGTTATGCCTTTAGGTCAAAGGCTCGGGGTGTGGCCCCTTAAGATAACCACCTGTTGCGGTCTGGGCACCCGGGCAGTATCACAGCCCACACACAAATGATGAACTCACCATATCTGTGGAAACTACTTTTCTCGCTTCGAATAACAATCAAATGATTCAAACTATTATCATTACTATTATTGTTGTTATTATTATTATTTACTACGACATTATTCACCCTCTTTTATTCCTACTCTGTCTATACTTATTTTTTCGACTTATACAGCAGCTCATCTTTGGTGGAAATTCGACTCTATCTAAACGTACTCGAGTCACTGTCCGGTTGAAAATTGTATGTTACCACCGAACATGAGTACTGAAGCAGTTTTTCTGAAACCACGTGCACCATTCACAAACTGGCTACCTTCAACGTTCGCACACTTATGCAGGTTGGACAACAGATAGGGCTGACTATGTCTTTAGAAAGTCTTAATATCGATGTTTGCTGTCTATCCGAGACCCGTATTCAAGACTCTGGTGAAGTACTACAAATTCGCTCTTCATCTGTCGCTTCGAAAAGCTTGTTTTACGTGCGTTTATCCGGGGACTGTGGCATCTTCGTCTGGTCTTGCTGGCGTCGGTGTCGCACTAAGCGCTAAAGCTGAGGCAGCACTAATCGATTGGATCCCCATTAACAGTTGGTTCTGTGCTGTTAGATTAGAAAGTTCCATCAAATTGAGAAGAAATCGGTGTGGGAAACTATGTCTTTTCGTCATCTCCGCCTATGCCCCGACAGATTGCAGCCCGGATGCAATCAAGGATGAGTTTTATCATCAGTTATCTGTTTTTCTCCAGAAAGTGCGTTCGACAGATATTGTAGTACTAGCCGGAGATTTGAGTGCTCAGGTCGGACGTCTAGGCGGTGTGTGTCTGAGAAGTTTATTAACATCCTAAAAGCCCTATATATAAACACCTCAGGCGGAGTGAGGGCTCACAACTACATCTCTCCATTGTTCCATTCGAGCAGTGGGGTTAGACTGGGTTGCCTAATCTCATCATTCCTCTTCAACTTTGCCATCGATGACATTCTGGAAACAGCTCTGATGGATGTAAGTAATATCGGTGTGGATCTGTTGCCTGGAGAAAGACTTTTCGACTTTAAGTGTGCGGATGATATTGTCTTACTGTGCGATAATGCCCAAGCCATGCAATCCGCACTTAATCAGTTGGCAGTCAGTGCCCGTAGGTACGGTATGAGCTTTGCACCTTCAAAGTGCAATGTACTTCTACAAGACTGGCAGGATTCTAATCCTATACTCACTCTGGATGGTGAGCAGGTAGAAGTAGTCGAGATGTTATTCTGGCTGTAAAAGGTCGTATCTACAACGCGTCGGTGAAAGCAGTTCTGCTCTATGCTTGTGAAACCTGGTCTCTCCGAATTGAGGATGTCAGACGACTCTGTGTTTGATCATCGTTGTCTCCGAAGGATTGCTGCCATCCAGTGGCAACACCATGTTAGTAATGCAGAGGTTCGGAATCGTGTGTTCGGGCGCAGAGACAATAATCCAATTGGTGTCACCATCTTGAAACATCGACTTCGGTGGCTTGGACATGTTCTACGAATGTCGTCCCAGAGAATTCCACGTCGTGCATTATTTGCCGACTCTGGGACTAGTTGGAAAAATCGGAGGTGGTCAGTGTATAACATGGTGTCGTGGTATGAGAGAAAGCTACAAAGGACTGGCTTGTGTTGGTCCTTCACGACTCCCTGACTGGGGTACGAGAGATGGTGCGACACAGTGGCTAGAGAAGTTATCAGATATTGCTGAGAATAAAAGCTAGTGGCGATCCTGCTGTAACCTTCTTTTACTTTCTTCATAAAATGTGATTGTATCTTCCTTAACTGAAAGATTTCTTCTGATTGAACCCTTCCGTTTCCCCCATTATTACTATTATTATTATTACACTACCTTACTTCAATGTCTTCGTTATTGTTCTCTTCTTTTTACGCTCCTTACCTTTTTTCTTTTTCCTTCTCTTTAACTTCTCATTGTTTTGTGTGGCGCATATATATTAGTGCTCTCTTGTACCAATATTTCTATGTTCAAATAAATAAATAAATTTACTACAACTTAATACCAAGATCCTTATGATAATAACTTTTAAACTAAACTTTAAATAGTCCATAGACAAGTAAGTCATGCCATACAGTTTTATAATGAAAAATATACTCAGTTAGCAATATACATTTTTGTGTTCAACGTAACTTTAAATATTAATTTTCATATCTATTTCTACAGGTTATCACCAATCTTTAAACTTTTTCATCAAATGCGGAATTCTTCATTTTATATTACCAAATCGATCGTTTATGAGTGCTTATCTCACAGTCCATTCAGACGATGCAATTTTTCTAGTGATTCTGGGGATTCAAAATGTTTAACAAAGCCTCGATATAAATGGGCTGTATATGGCAAAAGGTACTTTTAGTATCACTGAGGAAATTTTTTAAGTGCAACTGATAATGATCCACATAAAACTTCCATAATTTTATTCCCAGGACAAGGATCTCATTTTGTCGGGATGGGCAAAAATCTTGTAAAGTTACCGAAGATAAGGCAAATGTTTCAATGTGCCAATGAAATATTAAGAACAGATATTCTTCGTATTTGCCTTGAGGGTCCTGCTTCAAAACTATCAAAAACCATTCACTGTCAACCAGCTACTTTTATAATTTCTTTAGCAGCCCTTGTAAAGCTTCGAGAAGAAAATGACGAGGTTTCTATGCCATATAATTCACGCTATATGTTTTAAGTTAATTAGAAATTGCGTGGTTACAGCAGGGTTTAGTCTCGGCGAGATCAGTGCTTTAGTGTTTTCGGGTGCACTGACGTATGAAGAAGGTGAGTCTACTTATTTTCATATATTAATGAAAACAGGTCTGCATATCATTCGTGTCCGAGCAGAAGCCATGCAAAAAGCTTGTGATGAAAAAGCTGGAGCAATGGTTACTGTTTTCCTCGATCCTGGATCCCCATTAAAACTTTGTATAGCAGCAGCTATCAATCATTGCGAGGTTCGCCATAAAATCCAGAACCCTTGTTGTAAAGTTGCTAACTATTTATATCCAGATTGCAAAGTTATCGCTGGAAATAAAGAGGTAATATATTTCAAATCAGGATAATATTTTTTGAACTCCATACAATACTTGCCTATCATAATCCCTTACTTTACCTATCAACAATATCTTTACTATATTTCTAAGTTATAGAAAAGGATCTGTAAATATCTCTTGATTTAATTACTAAATAATATAGTCAGTATTGCATTAAATAGAATCAACACAGAGGATAAAAATGCCTTCAGTAATGTTTACATCTTCGTACTTATACAGAGTCACAGATTCAAAAGATGTGGTCATTATTATGTAGTGTTTTTCCTTACTGGATTTTCGTTTGCCATCTTATCTAGATTGTACTTCTGTGGTTGTTTGACCTAATACACTGCTCAACTTCAGTAAAAATACGTTTCAATTAGTTTCCGGAGACTGGTTTATTTTAGTTTCATTATGACTTTCTGTTCACTGGGTGATTTATCGCTTACTTAATACATGAAACCATTATATACAACAGAACTCCGTAAATTTGTTATTCTTTGTGCATCCAATTAGTGTTGTTCTCATCACAAATTCGCCAATGCACCTGCCTTCTCATGTATGTCAATATTCATATAAGCCCTTCTGTTTTTGTTTATCAAGTATGGGTAATTATAAACAGCTTCGATGTTCAGTTTTCCTTGGTGAAAAAACTAGACACATTTGATATACAAACGTTAAGAACTCACGCTCTACCCTTAGAGTTACATCCTACTTAGAGGTCTCCTTATCAACATAGATTATGAGCTTATCTACTTCTGTTAAATAAATAGTTCGGAAATGTAGTATTTTAAGCTCAGTGAAACCATATGGTTTTGTTTTACAGCTGCGTATATCATGCACTTGTAGATAAGCAGCTACTATCTTAAATTTTTACTGATTTTGTTAAGATTAACTGCATAAAATAGTTATTCCCTAGTTTCATTTGGATTTAAATCTTCCTATCAAATAATTTCAGGCAATCGACTTTATTGAAGATCATGCTGGTCAATTTGGAATACGTCGAACTAAACGATTACCAGTTGATGGGGCTTTTCATACTCCTTTGATGTTCTCTGCCCGGAAAGTTATTGCTAATTCACTAGATAGGATGGGGAATTTCCGGAGACCTTCGATACCTGTTATTAGTGCCGTAGATGTGTTACCGTATAGAGGTACAATGAATATTAAACGAAAACTTGCTATGCAGGTACATACTTCTGTATTAAGAATTTGTAATAAAGCTAATGCTAGCATAAACATTTGAAATTTTTTTAATGCTTCGCACTTACAAGAAACGGTGTAGGTCATTCTAGGAAGCACTCTAGAAATCCACTCGCAAGTCATAAGACTATTTTTCGAGGTTTCACAGTGAGAGATGTCATTTACGTTTAATGGCTCGGAGTCGATCACAATGATGTAGTTGCATTCATTTCCTATCTTACCTTAATTCATGTTCATCAATATCATTTCTATTCCTCAAATCGTATTCCTCAATGTCTAATTTTTTTTCACTATCATTATTTCGGTTCTTGCTAATAATCTTGTAAACTGAATCCTTCCTAGTTGTGTGATGGTAACTTGGATCGATACATATTTGTTACAATCTTTATGACTGACTAACCCAACTACTTAACCATACGTTCAGTGATGTGATTAAAAACAATATACGTGTTGAACAATTAATAGATCCCTGATATTGACCATTTCCGGTAATAAATGTTAGACGTACTGTTGAGTCTAAGTATGATATCAGACTCAATTTGTCGATATAATTCCATAATTAACAAATTACCTTGCTTACGGTTAGAAGTTGGGCATGTGTAGTTAGAATTCATCCTACTCATCTCATATGTAGTAATACGAATAGGGACTCACTGTGGCTTAATAAAAGACTACTTCTGTTAGATTTACTTAGTATATCACTAAATAACATTTAAAAATATACCTGATGTAGAAAAGTAGTAGCCATTAATTTTTCACGCAGTAAGGACGGTCTTAGTGATTTGCTATCAAACTACAATCTTCATTAAGGAATAAAATAAATGTCTCACCGTCCAAAGGTAGGTTTCCTAACATTTTTAAAAATAGACTTTCAAATTTACAAACGCGATATTTCATTTAGTTGCATGTGACGCATAAAAAACTCAAGAAATAAGTTTCGCGCTGATTGCTAGTCACCAGAAATCTGTCTCCGATCTCAGAGAAAGTGACACTCCCTGTAGTCAATCAGCAGTAAGGGCTAGACAAACATACAGATAGACCAGTCGACAGAAATGTATACACATTTTGAAATCATGAGTCAGTTGAAAACCTGGGAGCACTGGACGGCCGTTTCGTCCTGGTATGGGACTCCTCAGCAGTGCGCATCCACGACCCCGCACCACGCGGGGCTCGAACCCAGGACCTACTGGCTTCGCGCGCGAGCACTTAACCACTAGACCACTGAGATGGCATTCAACAGTGTTAATGTCTAACTTCAACCAATCCACGAAGTTGCGCCACCGTACACCATTGTCTTCAGTGAGTTGTTATCTCACAACAGACCGGTTTAACTCCACTGGTAACGGCTTCTCACTAGAACTCCAGGAGTTTTTCTTGAATTCAGTCACTAATGAGCAGTTGATTATTATCAGAATGGGTTTTTGTGGAGAGAGGACGAAACGGCCGTCCAGTGCTTCCAGGTTTTCAATGGTGGTCTAGCTTCAACTGACTCATGATTTCAACCTGTGAAATTTCTAAAACTCTCCACAAAACCCATTCTGGTATACACATTTATTACTTATTTTAACACAAATATAGGTACAAGGGGGCAACAGATACATAAGCGCCACGCAATAACAATGAGAATGGGAAGAGATAGAGAATGTAAGGTGCGCATAAGAAAAAAAGAACAATAACGACCACAGATTAGTGTATGGTAGTGTAATAATGATAATGATAATAATGGGGGAAACGGTATGGTATAGCCAGAACTCTTTCTGTTAAGGAAGATACAATCACATTTTATGAAGAAATTAAAAGGTTACAGCAGGATCGCCACTAGCTTTTATTCTCAGCAATATCTGATAACTTCTCTAGCCACTGTGTCGCACCATCTCTCGTACCCCAGTCAGGGAGTCGTGAAGGACCAACACAAGCCAGTCCTTTGTAGCTTTCTCTCATACCACGACACCATGTTATACACTGACCACCTCCGATTTTTCCAACTAGTCCCAGAGTCGGCAAATAATGCACGACGTGGAATTCTCTGGGACGACATTCGTAGAACATGTCCAAGCCACCGAAGTCGATGTTTCAAGATGGTGACACCAATTGGATTATTGTCTCTGCGCCCGAACACACGATTCCGAACCTCTGCATTACTAAAATGGTGTTGCCACTGGATCTCAGCAATCCTTCGAGGACAACGATGACCTAACACCCCCAACTCGTATAGGCCAGGTTTCACAAGCATAGAGCAGAACTGCTCTCACTGATGCGTTGTAGATACGACCTTTTACAGCCAGACTAACATCACGAAGGCACCAAAGGTGGCCCAGATTGGCATACGCCACTCTGGCTTTCACTATACGTGCATTGATCTCATCACTCACACCCCCACCAGCACTTATGCAGCTACCTTGATACACAAGCTTGCCGACTACTTCTATCTGTTCACCATCCAGAGTGAGTGCAGGATTAGAATCCTGCCAGTCTTGTAGGAGTACTTTGCACTTCGAAGGTGCAAAGCACATACCGTACCTACGGACACTGATTGCCAACTGATTAAATGCGGATTGCATGGCTTGTGTATTATTGCACAGTAAAACAATGATATAGTTTCGAAGTATTTAACCCTTATTCATTGTAATTGTCCATTATTATAACTAATAAAATTTTATGGTCCAGCCACAACTTGCTTGTATATCTCCTATTTTTATCCCTGTAACACAGTAATTGCAAATTTATAATCATGGCGTTTGAGATTTAAACTGTTGAAAACAATTTTTCGTCCTAATACTCTTTTGGAGAGCAATCTGTACTGACCTTTCGAGTTACTGGATAATTGTTTATTCGTTATTTTTCTGTAAATCTATTTCGTGCTACTTCGGATGCATGACTAGCTAGTATTCATTTGATATCTTCAGATGTTAGCAGTTTCAAAAAAGCTTCGTGTCTTTGTACTCTACAGGTTATCCGTCCTGTAAGATGGGAGCAAACGATGTATGCACTATATGATCGCCCAACAGATGTCCCTTTTCCTCGTACAATTGAAGCCGGTCCTGGCCGACAACTTGGTGCGATGCTGAGGATGGTCAACCGTGGAGCATTTGATGGTTACAGCTCTATAGACGTGTAGATATTGTCATTCTCTTCAGTTGCATTTAATGTGTACCCATGTATATACCAACCAACGTGTACAGCTAAGCAAAATATATTAGCAAATTAAACTCAATGATTTTATTTGGGGATAAATGATTTAGTACTGTAATAATTTTTAGAGGTGTAGTTTACTCGTGATTTATTTTTTCACCTCTATAAGTTACGATATTCTTTTCAGTTTCCCATATTTTGACTTCGTAAAGTAAATTATTAGGGATAGCATTGACTAATTGTGACCATATGAAAACTGCTAGGTTTTCCGTAGTTGATACAATACTATTCTTTTTAAAATATTCAACATCTTCATCTATATTTTTATGATCTAATAGGTCGAGAACATGTTTTTGAACAACCGATTTCAAGTCACTTATGTTCATAATCATACCGGTTCTTTGATCGATAGGTCCTGAAACTGTGACTTCTAATTTGTAATTATGACCATGTCCCATAGGATTATTACATTTTTGAAACAGTTTAACATTTTCTTCATTACTAAGATGTTGTGAATGAAGACGATGACAGGCTGAGAATGATTCTACTCTCGTGAGGTAACATAGAGCACACATCTGTGAAGTATTACATGTATATGGTCCTGTTAAAAGAAACAAAAGTTAGCAATAATAATTTGGCATAAAATCAACTATCAATATTCGAAAATTTCCTCAATGACTATTATCTTTATACGATAAAATGACTGCACAACAAAGGGAGTCCCCATCATTAGTAATACCGACAAAGCTAAATGAGTGGCCGTTTTTAATTCAGTCAAGACCTAGTTAAGTAAAGCAACTAGTAACAAGGAGAAATTCTACCGTTCCGTGGTATACAGAAAGCAAGTAATCCTTGTTCCGATTGTGTAAAGTGTTGGCGTACAAACCCAGTGACTAAATTTATTTTTACTTTATTTAAGTATATAAATATTGGTACAAGGAGGCGCTGAATATATATATGCCACGCTTCATCATTCAATTCGTGTGAGGGTTGGGATATTGCTCGAGCGCCCAAACCGGACCAAGTGGTTTCCTTAGGGGGCCACTCCCCGAGCCTTTGACCTAGAGGTCCAATCCACAAGGCAGCGGGGCAAGTTTTTAGATGCAGTCCCATGGTAGCCAGTCACCAACAATCGGTTCATACACCATGTGTTCCCTCAGGATCCTGGAGCCCATGAGCACTATTGGTTTGGGATCAGGCCTTTCCTACTCCTCTAAGGTGCAATCTTCGTATCCGCCAGCCCGGTTAAAGCGCCAGACATTCGCTTTTCATCCTCTCAACTGATTAAAAATACCCCTGTCGCGAGAATGCAGTGAGTAGGACCTCCCTGACAATGGTTGTATACCCGTAGCAACGTAAGAGCATTTTGAGAGAGTGGACTCTTCCCCCCCTTGGTCGCACCAGGGCATTTAGCGGCTAGTGCATAAAGACAATTAATATCACTAATTAGGGTCATCATAATTACTAGGCTGAGTAAAATTGCGTCAACCGAGACTTGATATTAGAGTTTCTATATCTTCAGTTTACTTCATAAGTAATGTGTATTTCTGTGACTTGTGTTGTCCTTCAAAAGATTGTCCATTAATTCACATTCGTCTTTACAATAATCTTGGCTTTAAAATATTTCCAGATTAATGAAGCTAGGAATCAAGTTAAACACTGGGCAGGTTTCTGTCTTCCTTAAGACTTGACTCTATCTAAAGTGTTAATAGAACTTGCTTTACATTGTTTGGTCACTTAGTTTGCGTCAATGCAAACAACACTGCACCCACTTCTATATCCACCAATCACAACAAACTGCTATGCATGCCACCTACCAATTTCCTTCAAATATTTTGAATCTGATATACCCCGTTTCGTTTGTCTTGTACGCCGAATCGATATCAACGACCTCCGGAATTTTTTAATGAATATCGATCATATCGCTACGTGCATAAACAATCTCCGATATATTGCTAAGATTGCTCTGAAGCACTTTCGCCTTCCCAATATCCCTTACACGACGTATAAGATCATTTAAAATCTCAATTCCTGTTTTTTTTATGGTTATTTATACACAATACTTACGTTGGTAGCCTTGTCCTTACATTTCTAGTGTTACTGTACAGCATAACTTTCTTAATTTCTTTCTACGCTAAATCCATGACTCAAACACATCGATATTTCCCTGAACAAAAGGTTGAACGGCGTTCCTCTCAGCACTCAACGACCTTCTTCTCGAGCTATCTGTGGTCACGAAGATGTCAGTACATGGGTGGTAATGTGAGGCATTAAAAAGTGCCATTTCGTATTATCCAGTGATACACACTACTCTCATTTTAAACTTACTACCCAAATATTAACACCCAGAATGGCGTCGAACGTTGAAGAAGACAGACTTGTCCCTTGTTACTTAGTCCGGGACCCCGAGTAGGATGCAAGATCCCGAAAGTGAATTGGTACTTCGCATACTGACACTGTTGTACTAGACCTATTAAGGTGTCTCAAAGTAACAGTACGGAAAGTATTGGGCTCCTGAAACGTAGGTTGTCCAGGTTCCACACTAGTTGTCTTCATGAATCTATCTGTAAATATGTAGCATGCTGATTCGCTGTCTAGGCCAGAGGTAGCTCAACTACAATGTGCGCATGAAGAACACGGAATGTGACCTAAGCAACCAATGAAGGCGAACATAGGGGAAGCAATGGTGAAATGACGACTTCTGAGGTTGGCTACTTGGGGTTGAGCAAAAAGTAGGTAATTTGGCGTGTATTTGGGAAAAATGTAGACAGTTTCGCCACATTTCAAACATGCAGCAACAAAAAGGGGAGTTTCGCAACATTTCTCCATGGCAGACGAGAAAGAGGATCTTTAGCGAATCTCCTCTTTTAAATCCGTGTTCCTATTTATCCCCTCTATTGATTGCTTAGAAAGGATGCTGGGAAGGGGAGGGCATTTTCATGTTCGATCTCTGAGCGACGCTGAATCAACCTTCAGAAAACTCACCTACTTACTAGGGTCAAAAAGAGGATTATGGACTAATGTGAGGAATCAGAAATGGGACGAAAAGTAAGGAGTTAGTGTTCGAACCTACAGTTTGGGTTTTCATGACAAAAAACACAACATAATCCTCGAGTGTAACATGGATGGTCGAACCTTGCGCTGAATCTCAAGGCCTGCTTTTGGTTCATCCGTAAATTATAGTCCTGTCGAAGCACAGTATGATGGACCTAAACGTCATCTGGTGTGAATGTGCAACAGAGCACCTCCAGCTATGGTTGTATTCAATTTCACAATTGAGGACGAGGGCTTACAGAAGTCTTTATTTTCAGTAAGTTTAGCTGTTAAAACCCTTTTACTTATTATAAGTCTAGCAGTAAATAAATCCCCATAATCAATAGTTCTGTCAGTCTTCGATGTTTTATGCTGACCTTATTAGTTTTAATGGATTCACCTAGCTGGAGGCTGTCGGTCACTCATCCGCACCAGATCATCAGTGGGTATGCCATACTACTCATCACTTTGATCTGTTAGCCAGCTTAGACCAAACGTTTCTACATATACCGATAGCCTTCCGAAAAATTCTTCGAATTCTTTTATTTCTGACTTGACTGGGTTGGCAAGCTTCAAATGTAAAGGGATTACTCGTTATGGCGTTGTCAATCTCCGAATACTTGTGACATCTTTACGACTTTCATTATTTGTTACCGATCTGTCTTATGCTCCAGGTACTCGGACCATACGATGTGCGGATAGTCTTCAACTTTAGAAGTGTTACGAAGTTTCTCGAATAATTCAATTCTACAAGAGGAATTGAAGATGACCTAGATAATATCCTCACCTTTTAAGAAGACCTAAACAGAATGCATGTCGAAGAGAAACTTCTTTCCCCCCATTATCACTTAATTTAGAAACTTAATTATGGATAGTACCCTTTAAGAGATCCCAGAGCCTCAATCTAAACGACTTGAGCATCGTTCTTTATTATACTCTCGGTGGATCTTCCCTTTGGCATTTGAGCCCATTTAACTTATCCACTTCAAAGAGTGCCTTTCAGAACACCTAGTAATTTTGCTCTGGAATTAATCGAAACGTTTCACAGTTCTCCTAATATTTTATGTGGAAAAAGCTCATGTATTATATCCCCTTACCATATAAAGCATAATGACCTTATGGAATGTGTTTAGAGAAGAGCACCTAAGAAATTACGCGGATGAATAAAATAAATCCTACTCACCTCGGTTCGAAGCATTCAGTCTGCAACTAGTTCAGTATGAGAGGATTGGGATTGGTGGAAATACGATGGACCGTATCGCTCATAAAACTCTCTACCTGTGTTACATTAACGAGTCACACTTGGAAAAACATCTACTAAGGTTAGGACACGAACGGGCCTGAACAGAAGTAGATGAAAGTCAGTCAATTCTCGAGTCAGCAAGTTATGGTCTCACCACCAGAAGCAGTGGGTAAATTCCTCCCCTACATTCCTCAAGTCAGCCTCGACGATTAATCAAGTCCTTTAAGTACTAGGAAAGACTAATCTAAAAATTACCTCAAAATCACTTGTTACATAACTTGCTCTGGTCTTCAGTTTCCACAAAGATAAAAACCTGAAGCAGAACTTCACAAAGAAGAAAGTTCTCAAACTGTTCTGACCAAGTTCTTGGGGAACGAACGTTTAGCCAGTTCCGCCTAGCAAAGGTCAAGTTGGAAAATTTGTAATGATAGATGAACCCGCAAAATAATTAGCTCTATGTGTCTTCGATATCAGTGTTGATCTCACTTGTTTTACTGGACATAACCATGGCTGAAACAGCTAGGTTGACCACCCTCAATAGATTACGTTTGCTTACACCGCTCTGTGCGTCTTTCACAAAAATTATTCAACTTGGATGATATAGTTCAGATTTCAGACAGCGAATTAAACAGTTGTTTTTACCGTAGAGCTTGCAGAATTCTAGAGGGCCTAGATGCCTCGGGTGGCTGTGCCTCACTGAATACAGTTATGCTAGACAGCAGCCAGTTTTGTATCGCAAGATACTTCCGACGGAAGATAATGTTGAAATGAAGTTATTATGAACCTTTACCATGAACGAAACTAATACCGTTGTATATTTGACTGAAACTACGAAGCCAGTGAAATAACTGGAACCATAGCCAAAACTTCTGTCATCCTGAGTGTATTCTTGTCTCAAAAGACCTATCACATTATGCTGAATTGCTTGTATCAACTTGTTGAGATCATTGGTGCGTAGGGATTATTAGTTGATTGACTACTTGAAAACGACCTCTGGTTTCATTATGTCAGTTTTGTCCTTCCTTTCTCTTCGTATGTAAACGTTATTGAATCAGCTGTTTGACGTTTTGCTATGGTTTAACGTAGAAGATAGAAGTCAGACCACAAGTGATTTATTTTTCAGGAAAAAACGAACGTAACTGAACACAGTATCATACCGTACAAAATTAATCCCCATGTTGGTTTTACAATAAATGTTCATTCGTTTCACTCTTCGCCATACGGTGGTCACGAAAAAGCACCACGAAATTAGAACTAAAACCCATCGTATTTCGGAGGCGACTTAACACAAAAGGACAATCAGTGTGTCAACTCCCTTGGCAAACATAATCCTACCTTGTAAGATTTTATCCGTTTTCTAAATTGCACCAGGGAGAAAATAATTTTCCGATCGTCATATTGTGGTGGCCCACGGTTGTTAGACACTGAATGTTTAGCTTCAACTTAATGCTAAGTAGGTTCGTTTAAATATGTCCATACGGGAAACCAGTTGAAAGTATCACTCTATAACAGAAAACCTACGTAACAAAAGGCAAATCTTTCAACAAAGTCACATAATAAAAGTTCAGATGAGGAAGACTGAAGTACATAAACTGCGGTAAAACAGATCTGAATAGAGGTTGAAATATACGGCAAGAAGAAATAAAATGACAATGCTGTCCAATAAAATGCTGTAAGGGGATTTTCAGCGTTCTATTTTAGTTACACCAGCCACCAAAATCTCTCCAGCTACATAAAGAAACCTTTGAATACATTCAGTCATGGCTGTCCCAGCTAACTTCTCTATATCAATGGGAAGTACAGGACTTCTAACAGTACACCTGCACACCTATAAACCTAACATACAGTCTGCAACTAGTCAACTCCAGAAGACAAGGCTTTCATAGCTTCCCTACACATTTTCTTTCGCGCTTAGACTAGTACCTTACTATAAGGCAAAACGCCGTCCGGAGGCATGCGCCTGAGGATACTCCACTAGTAGACCACGTGACCGTAACCTGTTTTGGAGACATCACGAAACAGATATTACTCAATCGTCCCAAAGTTCTCTCTGTTCTCATTCCTAATACCTCGGGAGAATTTTGACTGCCTTGAGATTGCGCATAAACTTAACCCAGCCGTCCCACGAAAGTAAAACACTAGCAGTCAGATGTTGGTCCCAATCAATGTATGACTCACAAAGGCTCTGCAGAAATTGCTTGGCAGGAAGGTATGTTTGAACAGTTACGTCTAGTGGATCGAACTGAGACGCAACGTGGATAACATTCTTCTACTTGTCAAAGGTTATTTCCATGGGTCAGATCAAAATTCGAAAACGTTGTATATGGTGTTGTACTCAGTCCGACGTGCTGTATGAGTAGACTCTTGATTTAAAGGCTTATCCCCACTATCAGACTGCAGAAAACCTTCCCTTACTGGTTCCGAGTCAGTTGCCCATTTTGTCAATTTGAAACATCCTCGAGTTATTGATTTACTCAATTGTATCACACATTTTTTCCATCAACACTGAAGAAGAGTACTAGGCAACTGAGCACGTAGAGATTTATGCAGTACCGATTCCACTACGTTGCTATTACAGTCAATAAATAATTTTTGAGCCAGTTTTACCAATACAAAATTTGTACAGAAGGGCGAGGATATTACTTAGAAGGGGTGTGATATTCCACAGGTTTATTCTGGAGATCACCATCTAGCTACCAGAGGTAGCGTTACTTACTTGCGCCTGTTACTCCCAATGGAGCATAGGCCGCCGACCAGCATTCTCCAACTCACTCTGTCCTGGGCCTTCTTTTCCGACCCCATCCAATTCTTGTTCATTTTTCTCATGTCTATTTCCATTTCCCGGCGTAATGTGTTCTTTGGTCTTCGTTTCCTCCTTTGGCCTTGAGGATTCCATGTGAGGGCTTGTCTTGTGACGCAGTTGTATTTTCTGGATGATGGTTTTCGTAGTTCTCCAGGTTTCCGCTCCATACAGTAGAACTGCCTTGATATTTGTATTGAAAATCCTGACCTTGGTGTTGGTTGACAGTTGCTTTGAGTTTCAGACGTTCTTCAGTTGTAAATATGCTGCTCTTGCTTTCTCGATCCGCGCCTTCACATCTGCATCAGATCTACTGTGTTCATCAATGATGCTGCCCAAATATGTAAAGGTTTTTACATCTTCCAAATCTTCTCCGTCAATTGTGATTAGATTGGTGCATGCTGTGTTATATCGGAGAATCTTGCCAATTATTATTACTATATACATATATTTCCGACAATTTAACATCTCAGCATTATGCTGAGATGTTTACTAGTAGTCACATTGCAACTTGGTCGATAGAATTCATATCAGTATTAATGGATTAAGCGAATGTGACATTGTTCACTTCTCAGTGATCGATCAGTTATAAAATTAATTAATTAGTGTTATTAATTAATTAACTTCATCTCTCTATAACCTAACAAACTTGGGTATTGTTTCAAGTTGTCTAATCTAAAGTCAACATTTCAAAACAAATGAACATGAGCAAAGTTTAAAAATTTGGAGGATAATAAACTAGATGAATAGAATAGAGACGGGAAATTGTGTATACAGTGTATTTCATTTCTGCTTTATGAAATATCACTGTAACGTGTTGCAAAGTTTGCATCACATTGATTTGTATTTGTATTTTCTGATACTGTCAACCAATAATAAGTACATGTTGAAGGTTTTAAAATGGAAAAGTTATAGTTTTTATCATGAGTTAGATCAGATTGTGTTTTGTACTAATATCCACTATATTGTATGGTTTACCTAATTAATATTAGATAAATAAATAATTTCCTAATGAAGCTTAATTACATGTGTGTAAATAACATATATCGTGTATTTTGTAGAATGAAACAATGTCATG